TTTCTGGTTTTACGACAAACTTATTACGCTTGCCATATAATAATGTATCGTAAAATAGGTTTGGCAGCATTTCAATGGTGTTGGTTAGGGTTGGCGCTGAATTGATTAACTTTCGAAAGTACTTGTGCCAGGTCTGGTCTTGTCGCTGCAACTGCATACGTTAATGCACCAATCAAGGCTTGATATTTAGTTATGTTCATCTTCTCTCCTTCATTATTCAACAACTTCGTTCATAACTCAACGGGACTTGCAGCAGGATTGCAGTCTTGCCTTCGTCAAATACTTTGATTGATGAAGTTAAATCTTTTCCTTTTCCCTTTCTCGTTGAATTTGAATGCGAAGACAGAAATGAATTTCGCCTAAATCTTTCATTTCAAAGCGTTTTTTTTAGATTATGTTTTTCCTCTTCTAGCATTTTCTTGTTGTTATATGCAAGAATCAAATCATCGACATACAACGCTAAAAGCATGATATTCTCTCCCTCTCGTTTAATGTACATGCACGGATCAGATTTGGTTTGGACGTAACGGGATTTCTTCATGAGCTGATCAATGGCATCCAATCAGCACCGGAAGATTGCTTCAAGCCATATATGCTTTTGTTTAATTTACAGACCTTTTGTTCTTGTCCCTTTTTCTCGTATCCTTCAGGTTGCTTCATGTATATTTATTCTTTAAGTTCACCATTCAGAAATGCTGTTGACACATCCATTTGTTGTACTTCCAAATTTAACTGATTAGCAATTGCCAAGATAGAGCGAATTGTTGTATATTTTGCTACTGGAGAAAATGTTTCTTCATAATCTAAGCGATATTCTTGTAAGTATCTTTTAGAAACTAATCGAGCTTTATGACGTTCAATTGAGCCATCTGCATTATACTTTACTTTGAATATCCATCCAGAATCTATGGCTTTACGATCTTTAGGTATATCAACCAATGTCCAAGTATTTTTCTTCATGTGGGAAGAATATTCACTGTCCACTGCTTGTTTCCATTTCGCTTTATCTGGACTATAAAAAGCTTCATTGATATTGAGTGGTCAATTATAGCAACACTGTTCTGTCACCAATTATCTGTGTTCACCACACCATGTCTTTCAGGAGATTTGTGTATTCGTGTTAATCGTTGTTGTAGTTGTTATTCATCTATCATACTGTTGTTGGAGCTGTCTTCCCTTTCTTCATTGACTTCATGTTCTTCATTGTCTTCTAAGGGGACAAGTAGCAAGGCTTCACATGCCGTCCCTGATTTCGACTGATTGCTACAACACGCGCAACACTTCCAAACTTCCAGCCCGAGTTTGGATCGCCCTGGCGCGAAAAGATATGATGATGATGATGATTGTCTTCTAATAGTTCATCATCGAGTTTTTCGGTCACAGTATCTTTATCATATCTATGTGATACGATGGTGGATTTCTTCGGTCGATAAAATGAGCTTTCATCAACTAACACGTCTTTTGATATCTGAATTTCACCAGTTGAAGCGTCGTTGAGTCGATAACCTTTACTTGTGAGGCTGTACCCAACAAATGTGCATTTCTTGGTTTTTGAGTCGCATTTATTCCTTGTTTCTTTAGGAACGTGCAAGTAAGCTGGGCGAACAAAATTTCTGAGGTAAGATTACTGCGGTACAAATTGCTTCAGGCCAGATTTTCTTTTGAAGTTTTGCGTTGTTTAGGATGGAAACTCCGTTCTGCTGTGGCGTTCTTGGAACGCTAAACTGATGCTTAATTCACTTATCCTTTGATGTTTTTCAAACATGTGACAAGTGTACTCACCACCGTTGTCTGATCAAAGTACTTTAATGTTCTTGTTACCATTGATCATCATTGCTTCAAACTCTTTGAATTCTTGAAAATCTTCATCCTTTCTCTTTATAAAGTAGATTGTTGTGTACCTTGATTTATCATTAGTAAATGTTATGAAATATTTATTTCCTCTGAGACTCGTTTCTTCTATCGGTCCACAAACATCGCTATGGATAAGTGCAAGTACATCTTGAGCACGCGTTGCAGGTTCTGAGGAAAGGTTACTCGTATTTGCTTTCCTTGTGCACATCCTTCACAAAATTCAATGTGATCATCTGATTGAAAATTAAGACCTACCAGCAATTTTTTTATCTCGAATTAGACGTAAATTCTTTATGCTTAGATGGTCATACTGTTGATGCCGTATTTCTTCGCTAGCATCACTTGTAGAAACATTCGTATGATTCGAATCATCCTGTTCTTTAACATAAAGAACGTAAAGGTTATTCATCATTTTTCCTGATCAAGATACAGTTCCATTTTGATCAAGTATTAAACAAATATGTTGATTAAATTTAACTGAGTATCCTTGTTTTGCCGTAGCACCAACTGAGAAGAGATGTTTTCCTAAATCTGGAACATTTAGAAGATCAACCAATTTTCTAGGTTCATAGTTCTTCTTAGATTTAATCTCAATGTGTCACTTTTCCCAGTGCTTTAACTATTCTTTCATCTCTTATCATTACCTTTTCAAGGGATTTATATGGGATGAAATCAACCATGACATTCTTCTTACATAATATATAACATATTAAATGATGCATCTGAATCAATGTACCATGGAATCCCTTTTGCTATCTGTAAACAATGCATTCTGAACTATTGCTCGGTAGGATTCTTCTCCTTTTTATTTCTATCGTCACTTTGCTTATTCTGTTAGGTTTACGACTTTCTCTACCTTTTCTTTTGAATTTGGCATTCTTTTCTTTTTCGATTTTAGACTTTTGACATAGAAGTGCTTTCTCACCAATGTAGTTACTTTCGTTGGATCCCTTTACGTTTATGCTCTTCATGAAGAAATCTGGCTGTAACGAATTCCAATGATAAGTCATCTGCTCTAGATTCCTATGCTGTAATTAAGCCACTGTATGAATTTGGCAAGATACAAAGGAGTGTCGCCACTTGATCTTCAGAAACACAGGCACCCAATGTTTCTAACTGAGTTGTATTATCTTTCATCTTGTCGAGATGTTTGGTCATGGAATCATCAGGAACCATACTTGTAGTGCAATATTTCTTCCGCAAAAATAACTTATTGCCTAAAGATTTGACTTCGTAATGATTTTCTAATTTCGCCCAATCATCTTTTGCTGTACGCGCTGATCGAACGAGGGATAGCTGTTTATCGCCAAAGATAAACATATCGTTGCAAATGCCTTTCTTTCCCGCCTTTTATATTGTCTACGTTAAGAATCAGTAGTTCCTTCGCCATTAGGTTCTACCTCATCGTCACAAACTATTTCCCAGAGGTCCTTCTCTTCAAGAATCATCTGCATTTTGAACTTCCAAAGGTGAAAGTTGTGGCCATTAAACTTTTCTATCCGTGCAAGTGCTTCGTCCTATTCCAAAGTGGCCATATTTGCACTTACGAAAGTTACAATCTTATGAAATCACGATATCTCATATACTTTCCTTATTTGCTATCACCAATAGAAACTCAAACGCTCCTGGGCCCATAACCTTTGAAATTATTCGTAACTTGGTAGTAACGCTTGGATTATATAAGGTATAATATAGATTTTATTGAGGAACAAAACAAGTGTAACGAGCAACGATATTATAATGACAATCTTTATGTGATATGACATATGTCATATCTACTTAATTAATTATGCAAAATACTGTATTGTTTATATGTTTTCGTTTGATGTTCATATCTCAAAAAATCAAAATTGCATTCGCCTTTTGGTCAACATGTTTTCATAACACAGATATTAGGGCATGTGGTCTTTTTTCGATTCGGTTGTTTTTCGCCCAAAATCTTCAATCTACAAGTAAAATCAAGTGAGGAAAGTAAATTCTTAAGATCAGTCATACAATGCTATATTTATTACACATCTAATTTATTCAACTCAATGTACATTGTAGTGATTGTTGAACTACTACACTGCCAAAGGGTTTATTAAAATAAAACTCGCCCACAGCGAGACATCTGCGTCTGTTGTGAATTGCAACCTGTGTTATGCACATTAGACTGGATAACGCATCTCTCGTGAAAATTAAAGCGGGAAGTTCGATCATTTGCTGTTGACTTAATGGGGGATGTCGGTCCTACTTTACCATCCTTTTGTATTACAAATTCACATTTTTTGCTTTCTTATATTTTAAAAACTTCTGATTTGGACAAAGTTTCAATGAAATGTACAGGAAAACCAGTGGAGAGTTTTAGCCCTAATGTTGTATTTTCTGTGCATTTGTAATGACTGAGAAATGAGATAGCATGTTGTATCGCCATTTAAAAGTTGAAGTTGACAAGGACAATTTCTGTTCCGCGAGGCATTTTTCGAAGATGAATTCTCAATCTACAACAAAGTATCAACAAACGCATTCATATCTTCAATATATTCATCTATAGTGTAGATCTTCATAAAGGAACTGGTTAAAGACTTTGCTTCACTAATGAAAAACAGAAGTTTTGCAGATTTTCTTTGATGTACATCTTGTATATTTTGATGATATATTTTTCAATTTACTGATGTATATCAAAACATCTTTCTGATCAATGGCGTAGCTAGCAAAAAACATTTGGTTGGGCTCACGAGGCGCCACTATGGTTGGCGCCGTGCAAGGAATTTTTCCGAATTTAGACTCCCTAGAACGTCGGAAACGGCTATCTTAGAAAGCAAATGCGTGATATTTATGCAGGAAATAGAACCATTTTGGTTAATTTTAATTTAAATTGCCGAAGGATCTTATAGTAAAGCAGAGAAAGAGTTTAAAAATAGTTGCAGATATGTGATTTATTTCCTCAACACCACATACATAAATAGATACCTATGTACATCTTGTAAAGAAACTTTGACAAAAGAACCGAAAAGGCTCAGATTTGTCATCAACAACTATCAAAAGTTGTGATGCCGTTCATTGTCGTGCTGAAATGACAATCATCATTGCCTGCATTACAAAGTTCCCGAAAAAATTCTCACATGTCATGGACGTGTGAATACCTATTTTTGAATACCTCTTTTTTATAAGAAAGCAAGTCTTCCTGGTTTTTCAATGAACTTCTTTACTACCTCATCATGCAATGTGTTGGCGTCTTCTTTCTCTGAGAGTATGTCTTTGTGAATGGAAATCCTGCAAAGAGAACTAAAACGTCCTTGGCTCATAGTATTTCTAAGATAATTTTTTACCCTCTTCAAACAAGAAAATGACCTCTCAACTGAAGCACTTGTAATTAACAAAACCCCATTTATCTTTAACAACTTTACAACTTCTGGAATACTAGATTGAAGATGGAACTCAAAAACATATTTCAATAGTTCATCGCATGAATCACGGTGAAAGTCTTTATCTATGTAAATAAAACAAAGTTGGCTAAATAGCATTGGTATGTCAAACATATCACCATAAACCTCCTTTAGATGATTTATCTTTTCTGACGGCATTTCACCTTTCCACATCTTAAACACCCTAGGGATAACAAGGTCTAAAAATCTAAAACGCTCCATATCCTGAAATCGCTCAGTCAGCATAGTCACAATTGTGTCAAGAATTTCAAAATACATTTGTTTTTAATTATGCCGTGGTCATACCTGGTTACTGGTGGTCCCACTTTCTTAACAGTCAGGTCGTACACCTGACAATATTCTGTATCATTTCTCAGAGAAGCAACAAAGGCCTTGAATCTCTCAACCCTACTCACTCCATAATGAAAGTCAGTGTCCTTGTCTTGCAAAATAGAATAACGTATGGATGACTGCTTAAGATTCTCTGGAAAACAAGTACCAAGAAACAAAACAAGAAGGCATAAGGTAGCCAAGTAAACCAGTAACCTTACTTAACGTTTCATCATCCCAACCTATTGGATTATCAGTAAGATTTTCAGATGTCTATCAGTTTCTCATAGTTAGAATGCAAGACATTGATGACATGAGCTCTATAATACCATCTTGTGTCACCAGGACTAGGAAACTCAAGCCTTTGGGATGATAGTAAAGCTTTTCTTTTTGAGGGAATTGCCAGTAAAGTGCAGAAAGCACTAATATTAACAAAGAAGATTTTACAGGTGAAATGGAGGATGCAGCTTGACATAATACTAAATTTAGTCTATGGGCAGCACAGTGAACAAATTGAGCATAAGGATAATCCTGCTGAACTTGAGCTTGAACACCATTGAGATGACCAGACATAACAGATGCACCATCATAAGTCTGTCCAATAAATTTCTCTTTCACATTATTATATTGACTTAACTTACCCCTAACCACTGATGATATAGCAGTTGCAGTCCTATCACAACTAACATCAACAAACCCAAGCTGTCTTACAATGACACTTTCCCCTTTGTCCATTCGAACAATTACACTCAATTGTTCTTTGGTAGAAACATCAGTTGCCTCATCAACCTGTATACTTAAGAAAGTGCAGCAATCTATTTCCTTTACAATCTCATCCTCTATTATCTTATCAAGACAATCAATCAAATCATTCTGAATATCAGGAGAGACTCCAGTAAACCGCCCTCCCCCAGCAAGGTGGGTTTCAGCAAGCCTGCCATGTAATCGCCTTTTAAAAACACAATCCATCTAGGCAAAACTTTAAAGTACCTCTCTATAGTTTCCTCTATTCATGCTGCCACTAGATTCATCATGCCCCCTAAATGCAATCTCTTGCCTAGACAAGTATAAAACAGCTTCTGTTATGGTTTTCCACATTTCCCTGTTTTGCCTTACCTCCTCGATATAACGCTGAATCTCTTCACGTCTGGCTTGCGACATGAGACAGTCGACACGAGGCTGAAAACCATAGGTTTTCAAGGTCTTGTAAGCACCCATGTGCGATTTTGCCTTCTCGTGCTTCTTATAATCGGATAGGAAATTCTTCATGTTTTTGAATCCCGTCTGCGTCCATGAAGATGACGATCCAGGGCAAAACAAAAGACAAGGCCAACAGAACAATGCATTCTTTTCTGAGCTACCACAAAGCCAATCTTTCTTCGAGTACCAACTTTCCTGAAAGCTTCTATTGCCTGTAGTCGCTTGTAAATTTTGAATTGGCCGCTGCTTTACGAGTATATTTTACTCGCCTGATTGTCGAACAGAAAATGGTTACTTTTGTAGTTCACTTATTATATCGATTTCATTAGCCGAAGCCTTTGTAATGTAAGTTATCATGATTTCCAAACGTATATTTTGAAAGCTCAAAATTCAAGTCACGCTTTTGAAAATGAGCCCGACAAGATGATGTTAAACGTTTGAATGTGTTCACAGCTACTCTCAACAAATGAGATTACAGATATTCCCACTATAGATTTTACTACTTGGTCGGGCTGAATTTTCAGAGCCCGACTAAACTGCGTAATGCCTGGTACTAGAAATGCACTAGTTATTGATGCTAAGTAACGTTTAAAAATATGATAATTTTGCTAACAACGACGAAATTTGACAAATGTTACACTAATAGACTGTGGATTATACCAAAAAGAATCGCAGAATTTAAATATTTAGTCGGGCTGGGCCCGACCAGCCAGACCGCTAGCTACGTCACTGTTTCTGATTATATATCTATGTTGATTTGTTTTGTTTCTTTACTGAATAAACAATTAAGACGTAGTTTGAAATTACAACCGTCATTTTTAATGTTTAAATTTGTGTAGAAAAAGAAATGTTTCAAGCAAATGTTTGAAGCAATCTTCCATGAACGTCAAAATGCTTTAGAGACCGAGCGAAAGTATTTCTTATTTTTATAGAGAAAAATAATCGCATTTTAAATTGCTCGATGTGGCTTGTTGAGACGAAAATTAAATTTTTTTATCAAGTGTACTCTCTCCGAATAGTAAAATTCACTTTTGCTATGATAAATATCACTTAAATACATTTTGCTTTTTCTTCGAACAATTTACACCGCTCTTAAATAAATTTAAAAAATTGATTTTCTAAACAAATTTTTTGCAAGAAATGACTCGTCGACTACAGTCATAATATCGTAAAAAATCCGCTCGCTGCTGCAGCCAATAAGAATGCAGGAAATCAAAAACTGTCCTTCGCATGTATAAATAAGAATCGAAGTAAAATATTTCTGGACGTTTTCGTGAAAGCTTGAAAAATCTGTTGATGATAATTGTAGTTTTTAACTTTTTTCATGTTTGTTTACGACATATTCAAAGATGGTATAGGAATTACAATATCGACATATTTTTCTAAATGTCACCTTGTTTTAGAGTTTTATAATTCATCTAGAAGATGAGAAGGTGTATATAAAAAATGTATTTAAAATTTATTTAAGAAAAGAAAGATTCATCCCGTGTCTGCACGGGCTGATGCAAACCGAGGAGACCTTTCAGACAAATCAAGAGCAGATCAATGCAAGCCCCAGACGAAAGGTCAAGGTCCGCACCTGCTTGAGAGTTCGTATAAACCTCTTCGAGGTTTGCATAAGCCTGTGCAAACACAAAAAACATCTTTTATTTCTTTTACAAAATAACAGTAATGGAAAACAGAAAAATTTGAAAAAAAAATTAATTTGCAATATCTCATTGATTGATTGATTGATTTTGTTGGTTGGTCTCAAATTGGATTTTACAGGCTAATGCAAACACAGCAATAGACCAATCAGCGCATGCATTTATTTTTTTCTATAAAAATAAAAGTTTCTCCGGATTGTAAATAAAATGACTTTATTGAGCTTTCAACTCGGTGCTTCGAGCCTTCATCAGAAAGATATAGGAAATTATATACTGTTCTTTTTCATATGTAGACGCTTAGAGCGTCTAACTGGATTAGCGGGTAGATTAATGTGATTGGATGATGTGGAATGCGTTGTCATGGGTATTGGTGTATTGTGAATATGACTGGTGTTATTATTATTAGAGTGTAATGCTTTGTCTTTATGTTTGGCGAAACATAATTTGAGTTTTTGTGTAGGTATGTGAGTTACGTTAATATTAAATAGTCGAAGAAATCTGGTAGTCATTTCTGATGTTCCGTTTATGTATGGTAATGTGACGATTTTTACTGTTTCGTCTGGTTTCTTGTTGCTTTTGTCGGTTTGTGTTTTGTTTTGTATTTTGTTTATAGTTTTGTTTATAAAGTTTCTAGGGTAATTGTTTTTAATAAATGTGGAGTATATAGTTGCGTTCTGTTTTCTTGGTTTCTTCGGTATTACAATGAGAGTGTATCCTGTTAAAAAGTGTTCGAATGCAGCTTATATCGTGTTGTGTTGGGTGGTTGCTGTTGAAATCGAGTATTTGGTCTGTGTAGGTGGTTTTGCGGTGTACTTGTGTGTTTAGTGTGCCGTCATCTGAATTTGTAAAAAAGAAAAATCATTCAGAACTCTTAACTATGAAAATATTTTATTTTGCTTATGAATGCGTGCTAATCTTAAACATAATTGTAAATATGTATATATATAGATGGAATTCATTCCAAATGACAATTGGCATAAAACAAAATGCTTGTCAATGTAAATGCTCATCTATGTAAAAGTAAAATTACAATTGAAAATAAAAATTTATTTCAAAAAATAAAAAGCACAGTTTTTTGTATGAAATAAGATATGTAGAATTCCGAAGAACAAAAATTATCATATATTTTCTTAAAATATTTGTTTCAACACCTTAAAATTTTCTTGAAATGCATTTAGGAAACTATTTTTCACCCTTTTAGAAAAAAATTAAAATATATTTTTGACCATATATGATGAACACATGTCTTAGGAACATTGACTGTTTACGCAAACCTCTCAATTTCGCATCAGTAGAAGTTGTGTGAGTGTCGTTGGACAGTCGCAGCAGCAACTATATCATAAAGAACATGATTTTAGGAATGATTACACTAACATAGGCAAGCGCTAATTAACCAGGCTTTCAACGTTGGTTCCAGCATTGCTACAACGTCGGACTTCAGCGTTCTATGAACGTTGCTTGAACGGCTAATTTCTACGTCGCTAACAAACGTTGTGCCAACTTCAGTACAACGTTAAAATAATCACTTAAATTAGTGCGAACGTCGTGAAAAGGTTAGGTCGGACCTGACGTTCTCACAACCTTTTAACCAACGTCATAAGTAAGTGGTGTGGTAGCTGGGATACCCATCATGCACTCACAACTAAAGAAAAAGGACAAAAAAACTACAAACAACGCCAAAACTACAACAATGCACTCTAATAATATTAACAACAGTCATATTCACAATACATCAATACCCATGACAACGCATTCCACACCATCCAATCACATTAATCCACACGCTAATCCAATTAGACGCTCTAAGCGTCCACAAATGAAAAAGAACTGTATATAACTTCCTATATCTTTCTGATGATGGCTCGAAGCACCGAGTTGAGAGCTCACTAAAATAATTTATATACAATCCGAAGAAACTTTTATTTTTATACATTAAATATGCCTGGATTACCAATTTTTAAACGTATTTTTTTTTGTATTTTATATTACTATCTGATTGAAAAATTTTGCCAATTGTTAATGTTAAAACTTCCTAATGCTCACCAATAGCTTTTATGTTAGCTTCAAAAAATTTTAAGATTGTCTGTGTAAGGGAATAATTTAACTTAAAAAATAACTTATGCTTACGTTTTTTTAGTAAATACCACAAGCATCCATTTTGAGAAGTTCACAATAACGATTAAAGTCTTGAGTTGTTCAATTTCATATTACTTATTGTTCCCATCGTCTTGCAATTCCTTAGCGTCAATAGTCAATACTTTTTTTGCTGTTAAATAATGAACTTTTTATGATGTACAAAAAAAACCTCGTTGGTTAGTGCGAAAAGATTCAGCAGTGAAAGACGAAATATTTCAATTCTATATAATACAGCACTAAGTCATTTCTTCATACTTTACACAAAATTTTTTTCTGTATGGAGACAATTTTCCTGACTGGGTGAAGACGTGATCTGTAAGTGTTTGCAAGGGTAAAATTACTACTTTGTTTTTATGTAGGCCGTAATTGTTGCCACACCAACTAATATTTTGCGCCAAATCACTTTCAAATCAAATCTTAACAACAATAAGTCCCAGTTGGCGACAAGAAAAAACCTTCAAGCTATGAACCATATTCTTACCTTGCATTCATCAAAAATCTTTCTTCAAACCAAAACAAGATTCTGGGAAGATGAAGGAATCAAAGGTGGGTTTTCAGTTACAAACCTCCCCATTGGTCAGGTTCATTACGTCACCCCGGAAGACCCCTGCACAAAAAAGGGCTTGTAATGATTTACTTATGGACGAAGGAGGCTTTGCTTTTTGGGTCCATGGAGGGAGAATAAGTAAAACGAAAAGTAGTGGAACAACTCGGAGAAATTCATCCAACATTAAAAGAAGACATTGTATCGAACTGTATAATTCATCATTGGTATAGGCTGCCCTCTTATCAAGGCGCGTGTGGAGCAATGAAAACTGCTCAATACAGCAACATCAGGTAGGATCATTTAGGATAACATGCAATTTTTTCATGAAAGAACACATAACAAGCTAGAGTACATAAAATTACAAATATAGCTAACCCTGAACCATAATTGACTAATTATAGAATATGACCGTAGAGAGATCAGTTGTGTTCATACCAAGTTGTGTGCTGGCCACGAACTTTGACTGTATGATGAAATACAACATTGCCACAAGTTTTTTGCCGTAATTTTTATAAGATTCTGAAATCCTCCATTTTATTACAGCTGATTTATCAGAGCCGGGTGTATAA